GAAGCTCTTATACTACACTCCTGCTTTTGTTTTACAAATACTCCTCCTGAACGGCTGAAGCGATCTGCACCAAATTTAGCACAACCATAGTAACCAACCATGGGAAGGTATAAATCTGAAATGGTACAAATCGGACCACAGGGCATTTCTCTACGTGAATTCAAACTTTTGGAAATTTAACATGGGCCTTATGGGTTAATTGGTTGCCATGACATTATTTGCGAGATAACAATAAAAAGGTAAACAAGAGTCGCAACATATGTTAGTCAACGAATCATCCAAATAGCATATTACAAATACCGTACAGAGAAAAAGGGAAGATAAATCGGATTAATATCATTGAGTATAATTTACTACAAAATGAAATACCAATAATTATGGTCGGCGGAATAAGGCTGATGCACCATAATCCAAATAGCCATTCGATTTATGTGAACCAAATCTAGGCCTACATACAATTGAGTTTGGATACTGCAAGTAGACATTCCATTGACGTGAACCAGGCGTACCATTGACATTGGATACTGCAAATAGACACTCCATTTATGTGAATCAAATGAACCACTGCTTTGGATCCTGCAAGTAGACAATTCATTTACATGAACCAAATGCAACATTGAGCTTGGATACTCCAAGTAAACAATTCGTTTACGTGAACCCGACGTATCATTGACTTTGGATACTGCAAGTAAACAATTTGTATCATTAACTTGGAATACTGCAAATAGACATTCCATTTATGTAAACCGTCAATGCGTACCATTGAATTTAGATAATGCAAATAGGCATTTTATTTATCCGAACCAAATGTATCATTGGCATTGGATACTGTAATTAGACATTTAATATATGAGAACCATATGAAACATAAACTTTGGTTCCTGCAAGTAGACAATTCATTTGCGTGAACCAGACTTATAATTGACTTAGAATACTGCAAATAGACATTCCATTTAAGTGAACCAAATATACCATTGACATTGGATCTGCAAGTATCTCATTTGCGAGGAACAGATGTAAAATTGACTTTAGATAAGTATTGGATTAATATGCTAGCTCCGCTCAATATTGCAAGCATACAACTGCATTGCACACCTAGTTTACTAATATTTATATTTGAGATTTATTGTAGAGTTTAATCAATATTTTGTATGAAGTTGAATAACCTCTTGGAAAACAATTTTGGAATAATGATGAAATGGGGGTTCATACAGTTATTCGTTTATTAAGGAAGTACAATGACAAGTTCCAATGGGCGGAAAAAACAACTGTTTAGAGGAGACTAACCAAGTACAGGTTCAAATAATATAGCATAGCATGCACGGTAGTAAAGGGAGCACCAACGTATAACAGTAAAACCTAGAGGTAATTTTCGTTTCTTAAAACTAACCAAAAATATGTGTGTCGTGATTAAATTCAATAACTGGGTAATGGAACCATAACCAGTCGCAAAATAGTTAGTAACCAGACGTTGATTAGGCCCTTTTTTGATAGGATATGTAAAGTCAATATCACCTTTCAAGATGATTACCACCACATATACTAAGTAAGTCTTATACTAGGCTAATAGTAGTTTTTTAATGTTGATCAGAAACAAATTTAGGGCAAAGTTCTGTCAACGTGGTGCCTTTACTTTACACTAATTTTGTCAAACCTTTACAAAATGAGCATAAACATAGAAATAATAACCGATTCGGAGTGCTAATTTAGCGGTTTTGACCAAGAACTAAAAGAACTAAGTTTATCTCAACACACATTTTTTTGTCTTTTCATATTTGACGAAGACAATTTCCAATATTTCAATCAGGGAAGCCTTTTTCATCATTAACCAAAAGACCAAAGTTACCTTAGTAAACCAATATTTATTCACAAACAGGTTTGCTGCCTTAAGCAGAGTTAAACCTCTTGAGTTGTTCAAATTATTTATTGAAAACATCAACAAAAGCAAACAAAGATGAACAACAAACTGTTTTATTTTTATTTTTACAATATAAGTTGTACTGGAATATCTATCCTGACTCATAGATAATTTGATTCTGAGTTTGTTTCAAGATTACAATAATTTGTTTTAGATTTGAGCTTTTTAGGGACTTACGTCCTTACAAGCCACTAGTTATTATTTAAATTTGTAGTTCGTAGTGTATCTGAAAACTTATACTGTATCATTGACTTTATAAAGTCAATGACTGTATATTCAAGCAGTTAGATAAAATGGTGCTGATGGATTAACTTTTAAGCTTGGGAATAAGGAGTTGTATAAATGTGACAAACGAAAAGAACTGTAAAGCTGTCACAAAATTTGATCGTGTTCTTCAAAATAAATATACACATAACAAACGATGAAGATGGCAAAAATCTGGACAAAATACATATGTAAACATACAAGAATATTTTCAAATGGTTTTAAATAAAGCTATTCGAACAGCCCTATCCCAAATTGTTTTGGATAATCGACTCCAGTAATTTTCAATCAATTAAATAGTTAAAATTTCATCTGTTAACCAATTAAATCTTTAAAATGTTGTCTGTTCACTTGAAATATTTTAAAATATTAGGCCTACATATTTGTAATAAAAAATTTGTTATTTACCAACCTATGTCAAATAAAATTGATTAGAAATTCCTAATTTAGGGATACAATTTGGGACAATATGTTGGCCACTATAATAGGAAAAAATTCCTACCATTCAAAGAATTCTTACTTATTCTTCTAACTATCTTACTAGGTGGTAATTACATGAATTACAAAAACAACACTGGTATAAAATATACTATCACAGACTGCTTAATGGACGGACCTGTGTATTTAATACAATTAAAGACACCTGAAGCTTTAACAACTAAAGACAAAGATTAACTGTCTCTTTAGAGGCAGTAAAGCTTTCTATTTGCTTTTCTTTAACTGAAAAACTTAAAGGTTAAAACAGCAATACAACCTGTATTTAGTCAGGGGATGACCCCTTGCAGCTGATTTGAATACAGTCTAACCTTGATATAACGAACCTCGATACAACGAATTCCTTGATATAACGAATTTTTTTAAATCCCCTAGAACTCTCTATAAGACACAATGTATATTTGACCTCTACATAACGAACAAACCATAACAACGACCTTGATTTAACGAATTTTTCGTGATTTCGGCTAAAATTAGACACCTCAATATAGCGAATTTATCATTGTCAGAACCTCTACATTGCGAATTTAACCTCTGCATAACGAATTGTCTACGTCTTTCCCTCGATATAACAAATCCCCCACCCCATTATTGTTTTTGAAAAATCTGTTTCTTTATCAAATGAAATGGAAAGGTGACGTCATCGCTTGCGCTAACATTCGTCTGCTCCGTTTTACACATCTCTGTCTGCTGTCGCTGCGCGCGCTATGTTGCAATTGCAACTGAGAACTGATTTCATTCACTGAGGACTGATGACGACGTAATGTTTAGTAAGCTGTGACCATTTACCATTTACCATTTACCATCCGGTGTCTTCTCCACAATCCAGGGATCGGGGAATCGTCAAACTTCTTCCTGATCAAACTTCAGGGGAATGATGGGTTTGTAGGCCTATTCACGTCTCAGGTGTTGGAAAGTGTGCTCCACAATAAATTCGAAGACTGTGTAGTATGGCCTATCTGTTAAGTATTGTTTTAGTTTACTATTGAAGGTGACAGGTTTTTTGATGGTTTTGTGGTGGTAATAAATTGAAGAAGTAAGAGCCAGAGTAGTGAGGACTATTGTTGAATTTCTGCAATCGATGTTGTGGCAGGTCTATGTTATGTGTGTTGCGGAGGTTGTATGAATGTTGTTCTGATCTCAGGGTAGGTGTCGATTGTTTTGCAAGTGTGATGGATTCCAACAGGTACAGGGATATAACTGTAAGGATTTTATGTTCTCTGAAGATCGGCTTGCAGTGTTCATGATTTGGCAGTTGAAAGATTGTCCTTATGGTCTTCTTTTGGATGGTGAGGATGCGTTCCATGTTCCTGTCCGCTGTGGATCCCCATGCAGCAATCCCATAACGCAAATGTGAACAAAAGAGGGAGTGGTAGGCTATTAATGCTGTAGTTTCATTGGCGATGGCTCTAATTCTTCGAACAACGTGGTGTGCAGAAGATAGTTTTCCACAGAGGTAGTCAACGTGGTCCTGCCAGCTGAGATGCTGATCGACATATATTCCGAGGAACTTTGTTGAGCGCGATAGGGGTATGCTGAGGTCATGCCAATTGCCACCAGATTCGTTTTTGTTGTTAGGAGTGATTGGGCGATATGGGATAACTATGGTGAATTGTACAATTTTTGGATAAAGAGAAACCTAAGAAAGAATATAAAAACAAAACCAAAGAGAAAGAATAGCAACATCGTTATTTTAACATTCCTTTTACGAGTATTTTTATTATCTCTAAGTTGGCTATGATTATACCTTTTATAATGACTTATCTAATAATTTATTGTTTTCAATACGATTTGTTTCAACTAGCAACACCAATGCTATAGTTAGTGATTATTATTGACATTCCTCTGTTGTGATAAATCAGTAATTTACTGTACTGTAAGTAGCCTACCGGCCTATCGCGAGCAGTAGCTTACAAAACTTTCAACTGTTTTGTTTTGTTCTTTACATGGTTTATGACTACGCAATACAGTGTTTGGCTAGGTTTTAGGAGGGTTAGAACAAGCTGTGATTTTAAACTTACAGTTTTTAACCTGTACCAAGGTCAATGCCATTTTCATGATTGCGCAATATTCAAGATCCCTCCCCTTTATTATGCCGCATAATTTAGGTTCTACTGTACAATGTAAACACTGTACTGTAAAGTATTGTAGCCTATGCTACTTTAATTGTGTTTTAATGATGTCTAATCCCGACCTATATTGACCGAGACTGGTTCTGAACCTCGACTTAGCGAAATTCCTGTAAACATAACCTCTATATAACGAACCTCATTTTAACGAAATCCTTGATATAACGAATGTTCAGTTCGGTCCCTTCAGATTCGTTATACTGAGGTTGGACTGTAGTATGTAAATCAGAAAAGGGTCTCCTTGTGCCTTTCTGACAGTGTTACACGCTGTTACAATTCCGCTCCTTACACACTATACGGTTTGCCGCCCAGTGAGAAGCCTCTACTATGTCTATGTTTCTATCACACTATGGTTTTTGACCGTTATGGCGAGATAAATGTGTAAGCGAATTTCAGTTCGCCAAAAGCAGGGCCGGATTCAGCATTTTTGCGCCCCTAGGCCCAAATAATTTTCCGCCCCCTAGTCTGGTCACAGTTAATTTCCTTCAAACCTTTATTAAAAACTATATCATGCCCATAGGCCTAAGTTAATTGCTTGAATACCACTCCTCGTCGTAATCATTGCAAGTTTTTTTTTTACAGCCTTAACAAAATGCCGATTTAAACACTTTTTGCAATTTTATGCCTTTAATAAATGCTCACGTTCGTGGCCGTGGGACTGAAACAAAAAACTCAACCCACCGAGCATTCCTGCAAAAAAAACATTGAATTGATTCCAATTCCAGGCTCAAAAACATGAACTCCATACAGTACGTGATACCATAGATTAAACATACTGCTTTAGTTGATTTGTCATCGTTTTGGATTAGCCTAGCTGAAAACAATTCTTGTTATTTAAGGAGTATGTTTTATGTATTTTATTTGAACCTAGTTTATCCAAAATAAAACAATCTAATCATTAACAATGAATAGGTCGTCTCCTGTTTATATTACAAGAAATTAAAACACACATCATAGAACTAACATTAAAATAACAAAAACAAAAATTCGTCAAAACTGACGTCCAGTGTCACCAAAATTAACTAGACATGAACAAAATTTGAATTAACAATGCCATAATAAGTCGACTTGTGTTATATCTTTGACTATTAATACAATAGTATTATAGACTTCTGTATCCAATAGTCAATGGTTATATTTAATCTATGGTTGTACTGCATCTAGGTTATATTTCCAAAGCAAAACAGAATATTCCGGCCAGCCATACCGATCCTTAGGTCTGAGGAGAAAATTACAGCATTTATGGTGCTTTGGAGGATATTGATTTTTTCTAATATCTAATGCAAACTGAGATTAATATTTTTTTGTAAATTTTAAAGGTAAATTCATCGTTGTTTTAACATTCACAACGTAATATATTAAATTTAATATTGCTATTATATATTTTAACTTGATCCTGCAGATTGTTGTAAACTAATCAAAAGATTAGTTAATAACTGTTTTGTGAGGTGAGGGTGTTAACAATGTCTAGCACGCATGCGCCCCTAATCACTGTAATCGGTAGTACCGAGTGGCAGTGCAGTGGCAATACGATGCGTACCCCTTGGGCGCTCGTCAACGTCAACATCCCTGCAGCTTACTCCCGTTTAACCAAGGTTCGTTACCAATTGTGTAACGAAATGATGCGTTATTCTGAAAAATAGTTTAAATTTCCTAACGATTATTTCTTTTTATGAACTTCAGAATCACAACTCTGTATTAAGCATATTTTTTATCAACTAAGACTATTTATTTTTATTTTTAGATATATAAAAAAAATCCTCTCAGCCGTGCGCTCTCTGGGACCTTGCGCCCATAGGCCCGGGCCTACCGGGCCTATTGGGAAATCCGGCCCTGGCCAAAAGCAATGTTTACAAGTTTACAACTTTTGGCATTGTGGCAATTTCTTCGACATGGTAAAAACTATGTGAGGGATCATCTTTAATGGGTGCATACAATAAACTCTAAGAGAGAAGAATTTGGCAGTTTTAAAATGAGTAAATCTCGTCAGATGTTCTTTTTAAAATCTTATCTTTGTAAGAAGTTTTATACACTGGTTTGAATTTATTTAGGTTAATAACAAGCATCTGTTATTATTAAACAGCTAATAATATCAAAATGTGAAAATGATGAACTGATACACACAACACACAAAAACATGAACAAAGCCAATTGACAAGGGCTGGCAGGCTCCTGCCAAGGCCCCACTAGAAAAAACAGGCCATGCTGCAGGATCCATGACGTCACACTAGTGGATAGATTTCATTGATAAATTCATTGCCATCGCCATTCCCATATATATTAGGTAAATAAACAAGCTGTTTGTTTTAAGATTTTAATGGTAAGAGTTTAGTACAACTATCCACCACTGTGACGTAGTGTTGCGCTGCCCGTACTGCAGCATGTTTTTCTAGTGGGGCCTGGCTCCTGCCCGAATAAAAACACCGAACAGTGTAAAGGCACTCATGCCACTACATCCATGGACACATTGCGACAACCTTCCGGTTCAGTGGAAATGGACGGCTGCAAGACTTCCAGCATGGTCCTCTGCCTTCGCAGAGCCATGTACTGCGAAAGCTCTCATGCTCTTCATAACAGTACTAATAAAATTCCCGTTACAATTTTTAACCGGACTGCGAAAAATGTATAGTGTGAAAGGAGCGTAAAAAGGTAAAATACCCTTGCCGCAGCAAACCTGCAGACTTTGAATTTCCATTTGTCTGAATTAATTTTCAATTAAATGGATTTAAATAACATTTGTTTTAACGAGTAAATAGGTTTGCTGCTACAAGGAAACTAATAAAATGTGTTTTTTAGTAAAATATTAATAGCTCAGTACAGTATAAAATAAATCAATTTGCCAAGTTTGATCAAAATATATCCATAAACAAGCAAACTACAAGATTTTACAATATTCTCCATAAGAATAATATGGGAATTTCAAATTAACAATTTTTGGAATTTCATCCGTTACCAAAAACCATACAAAAACACTTTGATATACTAAATTATTTGTCTTTTTAAGCTCTTTAAAATGGTCAAGAGAGAAATTTGAAAACTTTTTTTTATGGTCAAAAATGAGAAAACCCAATTTTTACCCTATAAAACCCCCCGTAAAACTCCGTTTCCATGGTCCGATCATGCTGGTTCGCAAACTCATTCAAGTTTATCCCGCCTTACACCTTGAAACCAAATTTCATCAAAATCGGACAAACATTACACAAGTTATCGTGTTCACGACTCTCCCCTTTTTTCCGTGGGTTGATACAGCATGGTCTTTAAGCTTACAAAGCTATTAATAAAACTAAGAATTATTCAATCTAGTTGTGTAAGAACTAAACAAATTAGTCTGCATCCACAAAACAACTGCTAGATTTAGGATGACAGTCCTCGTATTCTTCGATGTTCTTTGATCTGACTTTCCCTGTTTCAGGTGATATAACTTGAGGAAGATCAGCATTGTTAACGCAAGCACATCGATAAGAACTGCCTCCAGGTTCATAAAACTTTCTTGGTACACCAATCCAGTCTCGCTCTATTCCACCACTGTAAAATAATACCTTAATTATTTACTACTCTGCTGCTTTGTTAACATAATATGAAAACAAATATATTAAATACACGGCACGCATTTCTGCGCCTAACAACTATTATTTTAAATGGTAATTTGTTCTTTGCGATGAATAATACAAGTGTATACCAAAAATAAAAATAAAATATTTTACTTAATTGCCAGTGGATAAACAATGTTTTTTTGTTTTTTCATTAGGTGTATAAATATATAAGTTTTTAGGCGTACCTACTACCACGTGTACACTACATACAGCTGTTCCTGTGAAAAGCATGCATTTTCTAAATTTAAACCAACAATAGTCAGGGATTGCCCTAGTGCCTTATAATGGTGATTGCAAAAGCAAGATACAAAGGAAATTGTAGTTAAGGGTAATTCGGACGAAATCATCACTATTCTTGGGATTAAGACTATTTCTCCTTTAAACTTTCCACTGATAATTTTTGCTTCAATCAATTTTGGTGTCATTTTTTTAATCGTCAGTCTGGTAACGTTGCACATCTTCGGTGGATTTAAGTTTCGCATTAGTATTATTTGAGTTCTTTCTTTTAACGACAGTAATGTGGTAGGTTAATGACAAATTGAGAGGCATTTGAATACCCGAGATAGCACGCACGATTATTATTCACTAATAATTTATGTTAGATTGTGTGGGTATAGAACAAAAGATAAAAATATTAAGGCATTGCCACCCCTTTTATTGTTTATAATACTTTGATAAAGGTTTTTATGTTCACATATTTAACATTGGAGAATTTAAATGTTGTTGAGATTAAAAGAAAATATTTTTCTGTGCTGCACTCTGTGGAAACATTGTGACACTATTTCAAATCATGACAAATACAGAATGTTGTGATTATTCAAACCTACCAAAAAGTTGGTGAAAGTAAACATCAGCTTTTAAATTATATTTGTTTGTTAACATTGTAGTTCAAAAAGTCGGACACTGGCCCACTTAAAACCCTCTGGGGCGGAGCCCTTTTGACGGATCTGCACCAAACTTCACACAAACTATGCTTGAAAGATGCTTGATAATGCCTGAAAGAATTATTACAAACTGTCAATCTGAGCGGTTTTGGAGACCATAACGTACATATATATATATATATATATATATATATATATATATAAGGTATATATATATAAGGTATATATATATATATATATATATATATATATATATATATATATATATATATAGTTCCTCTTTTATAGGTATAGATATTAGTTGGTACATGGTCTAATGTCATCGATCTAACTGAGCGCGAAGTTATTTATACTTTGTAGCGCGGACCCAGCCTAACTGAAACATTCGGTTTCAAGACTGATTTGCCACATATAACGATCGGTTACAAGCTAACATTACCTAGATGAAAATCTGGTGGAAATATTACCCTGAATGGTGGATCACTTGGCTCGTTGGTCGATGAAAAACGCAGCTAAACGCGCGTTGACGTGTGAACTGCATGACACATGATCATCGACAATTCGAACGCACATTGCGGCCCTGGGATTCTATTCCAAGGGCCTCGCCTGGAATAGAATCCAGGTCGGCCAGTTGGTTTTATTTTTAGTGCTGACCCTGTTTGTCAAAGTTTAACACCCATAGTCTAATAGTTTTCGTATCAGGAACACTCTCACGTCGGCCAAGGTCGAATCGAATCCGAAACGCTTGTTGAGTAGAAATCACAGAAACGCCATTTTTAATAAACTCCTCCACAACAATCGCCTGATGCTTCTTGAATTATTCTTTTAAGTGGAGGTGTTTAAGGATAATCTAAGTATAACTACAACGAAAAACGAATTTAAACTATAAAAATAAGCAAATGTATTTCTCAACAATCTTTGCAAGGAACAAAATTTTGGACAAACAAAAAACAGACAGCTGATAGTAAAAACAACATTTACATCATATGAAGTATGACTATTACAAATAAATAAAAAAAGGCAGGCATTTTCAACACTTTCCCTTATTAGCATAGTCATGCCGAGAGTCCAAGATTTTCTCGTAGAACTTGAAGTCTTGGTCGAGGTATAGGCTTACTTAGTATATCTGCTAGTTGAGATTCCAAAATGATGTGCTTTACAGTCAGCATACCTATATTTATCCTTTCTCGAATGAAAAGGTACTTCCGCTGAATATGTTTTGTACGAAAGTGAAACTCAGGGTTTTCACAGAGTTTTCTTGCTGATTCTTTGTCAACTTTCAGTTAGGAACAGCAGACAAACCTATAAGTTCGAACAAACGAGAAATCCAGATTGTTTATTTTGAACCAAGATTAGCTGCAATGATTTCAGCTTCACAAGTTGAGTCTGCAACTAACTCCTGACGATGAGTAAGCCAAGTGATAGCTGCACCCGCATATTTAATAATAACTCTACTTGGTGAACGCATTGTAGTTGGACATTTCCATTTCCATTTTGTTTTGTCGAAAGAGCCGAAGCCCCTCAACTACAACCCGGTACCTCTAATTAAATATACCCGGGCCCCATGGTGTAGGCCGGAACATACGCACCAACCTTGGCACACCATGGACGGATGACTTAAGGTCATCAGGGTTGCCCCTCAATCCTAACCAGGGATACTGGCTACTTGGTTAAGCGTCACTCCACCTGGAACCAGCAGGTACAAAACCTGAAGGCCCATAATGAAATGCCCTGACACATTTAGTGCAAGCAACACTCGGGACCTATCCAATCCCTGACAGGCCAAAACCCGCCATCAAAACCAGGAGGAAGGGGACCCCAACCCCCCATTTCCACCACTACCCGATCGAGGCCATCCCATTGCTGGGAAACCAGTGATACCCAGGGCGATGGATCCCCAGTTACCCCTAGCGGGCTTGATCCCAACACCCGATCTACTTCGTTTGCCCATCAAACCCAACATCACTGCCAGGCCCTCGGGGTTTCCCAAAAGGAGGCGGGTTTAGAAGTGGGACTCACCCGGATGAACCTATCCACCAAAGGTGGCGACACCCTTAACTCAATTGAGGTTCCAGAGAAAACCCCCCACACTCTAGATAACCATACCTTCCGACCTCAGAGACAGGGATTGGCTAATGGAGTGCGCCCAGCCGTTACCCTCACACTGCGGAAAGTTACGTTCCCCTAGAGTGTCCCCGTGAGCTTACGGGTACTTGCCCGATTTCACCTCCAAGAAAGGCTACTTCTAAAGTCGAGGATTTGCCCCACAGAATGCTGGTCGCACAGAGCAAGCAGGCTGAAGCCCAAAGAACCATAGTCACAGGTAGATGGGAGATTGATGGCGCACTTCCACCTCTCCGAGAGCTAAACACCCCACCAACCTGGATGGAGGAGTGTCACTGGAGGCTCCCCCTAAGGGGCTGGCGCTTACCAGACATCCATGACTATGGCCTACTTGAAATGCCGATTCCAACACCGGACGGTTACCTCCCCTTCAGTGGGGGCTTACTTGCCCGACTTTCACCTCCCAGGAAGAGGCTACTTCCAGAGCCGAGGATATTCCACACATAATGTTAGTCATACACATCAGGCAGGACTAATCCCAAGAACCACAGCCACAGGCAGATGAGGAGAGGCGGCAAAAAGCGGCATCACTGAGAGCTGAACACCCCACCAACCTGGATGATGGAATGTCACTGGGGGCTTCCCCGAAGGGGCTGGCACATCCAGTCGTCCATAACTGTGGTCTACCTGAGCGCTGGTTCCAACACCGGACAGTTACCTCCCCTCTGGGGGTCAAGAGCTAGGGTTGGCGTGGTCGCCAGGTCACGTACTCACGCAAGCATGGGCCCCCTGCGGGAATTTTTTGTAGTTGGACAACCAGCAAAGTCCGCGTCACAATAGCATTCCAGTAGACGTGTTTTAGGTTTAGATTGGTACACTAGCTTCTGGTCCACAGTGCCGGCCAAATAGCGTATAACACGCTTTGCTTGTGTGACATCATCTTGTGTAGGATTTTCTAAGTGACGTGATAGAACACTTACACTAAATACAACAAAACGAGTACCACGAGCAACATTGATGATTGATTTAGCAACATAAAGTAGGGCTCCAACTGCCGACCGGTATGGAAAATCGGAGGCTTTCCCTGGTGTTTGAGCAGTGAGCTTCTCTATGGGAGTAAGTACTGGCTTGCATCCATCCATGTTGAATCGAGAAATGATCTTCTTGATATACGCTGATTGGCAGACCAATATATCACCATCACTTTGAGAAATTTTGAGTTCGAGAAAGTATGACACTCCTTTAGCAACAATTTCAAATTGTGAACGAAGCTGCCAAATATATAAGTCTATTTCAGTCTGACTAGTCGCTGCGACTAATCTGTCATCAACATAAGAGTGCAACGATGATTTTTCCAGCAGGGGTAGGACAAATTTAGACACAGGGATTTTCAAGGCTCTGTCGAAATCTTAAGCCTTTCATGAAGTCGTCAAACTGTTTATTCCAGCATCGAGGTGCCTGTTTCAGGCCATATAAGCTGCGTTTGAGACAACAAACACGATTTGTCCTATCTGAATATCTTTCAGGTGTCTTCATAAAATCTCTTCTTCAACGTCTCCGTACAAGAACGCAGTTGAGACGTCAAACTGCCATAGAACCATCTTCTCAACAGCTGCAATGGACAATATTGATCGAACGACCTCCAGACGAGCAACCGGGCTGAAGGTTTCAGCATAATCAATATCAGGTCTTTGCGCACATCCTTTGATGACCAATTTTGCTTGATATTTGTCAACACTTCCATCAGAATTGCGCTTTATTCGGTAGACCCACTTGTTGACAGTCTTTTTTCCCGGAAGGAGTTCGGTCAATTCCCATGCACCGTGTGTATGCATGGATGCCACATCTTTGGCCATTGCTGTTTTCCATTCAGCACTATCCTCTGAACTGATGGCTTCAGTGTAAGACTTAGGTTCATCGTCAACAAGAAGAACTCCGGCAAAGTTAGACACTTGGGTTGCCTTCTTTCCTGAGTCGAGTGCCG